CCTCCCTCAGTGATCTAGGACTTCTGTGGTACTTTTGCAATCTCTGCACCAGATTCAGCCTAACAATGTAGGTGAACAAGCTCAGCGTGGACCTGCTTGGTGGACTACCAGAAAAGAAAGGATATTTACCCTGAGGTCAGGAATGGGGTGGATTAGGAAGGAAAATCAAGGTGCACCAGAACTTCATGTGAGAATAATATGCTGCCCCCTGCCAGTCAAAATTTCTAATGCATTTTGGGCTTGCATCTTTAAAAAAATGAAAAAAGAGGGGAAAAAAGAAAGGGAAAGAAAAAAAGAGACCTCCTAACAGTCAACTAAATATTTCCTAAAGCTGCCTAGTAAGGCGATGTGTACATGACCAAGATGCAATTCCATGTTCAGTCATTCACTGTTTCTTACTACAAAATAAAACAACAACAAAAAAATGATCAGTTTGTAACAGTGCAGCTTTACGTTGGACATCATTAGATTCCCTGCCACCTTGGAATTCCTGTGTGCTGTTAGTATGTTGTTTGCTTTCTGATTTGAGCTATGTTCCTTGGAAAAGGTCATGTCTGCAGCGTTTTTGGAAATTATATTTATTTTCCACAAGTGGGCAACTTCAAAACAGCTTAGCTGCTTGCATCAGACTCTTCCTGTCTGGGGCAAAATAGCCTCAAAAATAACATCTAAGGATATGGAGTAGTTGGGAGTGTGAGTTCGTGGTTTTTTTACTTGCGGTTTTAACTGAAACATATTGTAGTTTCTCATTAGCTGTTATTTACTTCAGCATACCATGAAATTGCCCTTCTTCTCATCACCCTGATGGATAGCCATCTCTGGCATTTTTAAACTACACTGCTAAATTAGTTAGCTTTTAAAAGGAATACGCGCTGCTTTGGTATATCAGGGTATTAACCTAGTGTCTGTAGCATTGACTGATTTTGATTCATTTATCACTACAGTGATCTGCTATTGCATGTTTTCCGTATCTCAAAGAAGAGGAACTAAAGTATTCACCAGGCTGTATTTTCACTAAAGGAAAAGCTTATGTTATCATTTGGTCAACTCCTAGAAAGGACCAGGTAGTTTCCAAATATACTAGCAAGTTGGCGTAGGCAGTGGACTCTGAGTCATTCTCCTGGAAAGTACCAGCAATGTGTTCCCAGGGATTTTTGTACATTAGCTGTATGTGGTGAACACCAAAAAATCCTGTCTTCCCTCCATGGCATAGGCATACTTTGAGTGATTTGCCCAGGGATGCCCGGGCAGAGGAGGGAGCTGAGTTTGTGTGTGCGAAATATCAGGATGGTATCAGGCTGTATCTGGTTGGCTTAATATGAAAAAGCCACAGGCTGGCTGTTCTTGCAGACTGACTGTCACTTCGGCCTTTTTAATAGATTAAAAAGTGTGTGTGTATGTGTCTTCTCCACGAACACTTAACCTCTCAGACAGAGTCCTCTGTTTACAATTGCTCGGTACTGCAAGGCATCTGAGCATGCAGCCAACTTACCTAGGCATCATTCTGCTCCCCAGCTTCTGCTGCAGGCATTTCTAATTTACCTGTTTGGTTTATAAGTTGAGAAGGAACATGGCACCTGCCAGCAACAGGAGGCAGAGCAAGACAGGGTTTTTCCAAAGCAGTACAAGGCTGGCTGGGACTTGGACAGGCAGAACTTTGAGCTTGGTCTCGCCTGTGCTGAGACTTTCTCTCTGCCTTGCCTTTACCAGCAGGATTCAGACTGCTGCTTCTAGGCTTGGAAACGTAGAGAGTCCTTGAACAAAAACTACCTTGGCAATGGGCATTATTGTCATAACATCTGCCCAGAGGACATGCTAGCAGCAACTTGGGAATGATCAGAAACAGTTGTTACAGTGGGTGCAGTGCATCTTCACCGAGTATATCACTGTTTTTCCAGGGAAGAGATACCTCAGTTGCACTGCTGTGTAACACATCCTGCCTGATATGATAATGATGGGTTGGGATTTTTGCAGTTTTCTTTTGGATCTTATCTTTTGCTCTGCATTACCGGTCTTTGTCTCATTTCTTTCTTTGCAAGTGAAGAGGTCATGGGCTATTGAGTTCAATACAGAAAGTTGTTGCTCTCATACTCTTGCAGCAGAAACAACTTCTATTTAATTGGTTAAAATTGTCTTCCCAGTGGTCATATGTTGGACAGCTTCAAAATGTTGTGTTAGTAGATCTAGACACTTCATTTGAGCAGTGGTGACACACGTCAGGCAAGGTGGCAGCTGTGCCTGTGAGCCCTGTATCTATGCATCAGTGAATTTCTTTTTGAAGCAGATAATTGTGAGGATTTTAAATAAGGAATGTAATCTTTAACCTCTGATAGTTTTTATATCTCCACCAAAGTTAATGCCACTGCACTTATGCTGTGGTCCAGTATCGTCACTTTTCTATTAAGCACTAGGTCTTGAGCTGCTTGATATTACCTAATCCTAATTGAAATCCGAGCAATATTGCACTCCAAAGCTGACTTGCATCTTCCTCTTTCAGTCTTTCCTTTATAAGAAATCAATGTTAATACGTAAGAATTGGACATCTACAGCTATTTCACTCTGTTAATTGAATTATGAAAAGCTTAAAAGGTAAGCTTAGTACATCACTGTTAAAGCCTACTGATGTCTTACAAAGATGTTGCACTCTTTTAATACGGAGGTCTAGCAGTATATTGCTTGCATGCAGTGATAGCTCTAATTGGAAACCTAATAGGATACAAGAGATTTCTAAGACTATTACAAATAATAATATATTATTTTTTAAATCTGTGGGATTTTTTTATTGACAGTCCTTTGGGTTGAATCTGGAAATATGTTGAAATATTTCTCATTGGTTCAGAGGGCTGTATTCAGTGCTAATAGCACATCACGTTTGTTGAGTGCTGAAGTGCTCCCCGTGGGCAGTTCTTGTGATATAAATTCCAACAGCAAATTGGTGCTAACAAAGCGCAAGTGCCTGTTCCATTCAGCAGCTCCATCTTTAGGGGAGGGAGGGGAGGATGATCGCCGGTGCAACTTGCAGCAATGATAGTGTGTCAGTAGGTTGCTAATACGTACATAAAGAGGTGATTCCTTGGAGTGGTGGCTAAGGGTGCCCCAGAGAGTCCTTTTCAGTAAGTTTGCACAGTTAAGCTGGTGTCTTTCAAGAGGTAGAGCTTCCTGTCGAAATACAACCCTCTTCCAGTCTAATGCACAAGTGGTAGCTGGAGAGTACTGAGTGCCCAAATATATAGACCTGCACAGGACAGGGACAAGTCATTAAGGTGGAGCGGGATGCCAGGAGCGTTCAGGATGGAATGGCTTTTACTTTAATTTAGTACCGGTCTTGAGCTGCACGGGGTTTTGTGTTCTGAGGAGAGAAATCTTTCCCTGGTGGCTGGTGCATCACTTTGCAGAGAGCCTGTCTGCCTTTACTGCCTTCTTACACGTTTTCCTGCACCTGAAAGTATGCTTTTAGTCATAGCTTTGCTCTTGTTGAACCATTTAGCACCAGCATATTGTGAACTTTTATTTTTAGTTTAATCTGAAAATAAAATTTTAGGTTTGATAACAGAATTAACAGCCTTTCTCTCCCCTGATTCCCCTGCTGTCAAGAACATGTTCACCAGTACTGCAAAGAGCAGGGGAAAAAAACATGTCTCTGATCACTGTTGTTACATTGAGAATTTATGTTTTTGTAATTGTATTTCTATTTGTAACACTGTTACTAACACCTAGCAGTTATTCTGGTTCCCTTCACATTAATCAAATGCATATTGTCATGTATATATTGAATTTATTGGATTGCCTTCCCTCTCAAGTAATACTGCTCCACAATTGTTACGAGAAGATCATTTTTTTATCCTTCTGTCTTATATTAGCCTTGTTGAAAGAATGGGGAAAGAAGAGCAAGGCTGGTTTTCATTGTATTAGAGATGTTAAAATCCAGCCCCTTACAGAACAAGGAGAGAAGAGATTTCTGAAGTCATAGCACATCCATGATGGAAAAAGCTGTGTCAGCACCTCCCTTTATGCAAAGGGAGTTTTCAGCTCTGGCATCTTACAGATAAAATACTACCATAGCAGCACAGAAAGAAAGAGGTAGCAATGGAGTCCTAAACCATTAATGGCTTTATAGGTTGAGCTGTACGTAGAAATACTCAGTGACATATGGCACGCTACAGAATACAAGTGTCTGAGGAGCTCAGTAAAACTTATTTTCAACAAGCAGACATTTGTGTACTGCAACACCTTTAGTTTGTACTGCTCTTGGTGAGCTGCTGGCACGTTAGGGAGAATCTAGAATTAGACAAAACTGATCTGAGAAAGTGCTGTTTTAATTTGACACTGATTTTAATTCCCCTTATGAAACCAGTTCCACAATACAAACAATATCAATGGGATGTGTTCGTGTGGCCTCATTTTAGAAATCAGTGTAGCAAAATGATAAAAGCGTAGAAAATTTTGACATTTAAGAGTATCATCATGTATTTGGCTTCCTTCAATTATACCATGAGCCTTGGTTTAGCAATAATACAGGAATATATTTTAATTTTAAAGAACACACAAGATTAATAAAATCAACGTAAGTTCTTTATTTAGTATGGTCTTTGATGCAGTACAGTTTTATTAAGGCTGAGCTGGAAGAGCCATTTCTGAAATACAGTAGGAAATTATTCTTTGAAACTTAACTTTTCTGTTGTGTTGAGATTGTGTAGCATGTTTAGGAGTAGTTCTGGGCAATGCTGCTCTTATAAATGTCAGGAGAGAGAAGCTGAAAACCATACCCCAACTCTGGTTTCTCAGCTTTGCTAAGCAGTCTGGAACACTGATACGTCCAGGTAAGATCTCTGAGATTTTGGAGGCATTCGATCTACTTTTAATCCCTGCCTTTACATCAGGTGGTGTATGAAGTGTAACACTGAAAACTGTCTTCCATATCATACTTGAAGAATCTAAGAGGTCATATTAATTTGAACTGTGGTAATATTCCTAAACCATTTGGTTTTTTTATCTCTTAGCGCTGGCCCCAAAGGTGATAACATCTACGAATGGAGATCAACCATTTTAGGACCTCCAGGTTCAGTCTATGAGGGAGGTGTTTTCTTCCTTGACATCACATTTACACCAGAATATCCTTTCAAGCCTCCAAAGGTAAGAGACCTGTAGCTGACATCTTAAGTCATGAATGTTCAACAGACCATCGACTACCAAGCAGTGTTAATGGCATGCAGCCCATTTGAAAGCCGCTTTCTTCAAGAACAAGCTTAAGCTCATTTCAGACTTATTGGTTTCTATTAGCTAATGTTAACAGCTTTTGCAATCCTCTTGATCACTATTTTAGAGCTTGTTTTCTTTTTCCCTGCTTCTGGTTATAGGAGGTCCTAAGCAATTAGTGCAAGCGTTGGAACAGGACTGAGAAACTGAAGAATAAATAAACTTGGGGAGAGGAGAAAGGATACAAATACTTGTTTCTCAAACCACTCAGTTACCATAAACATGTTATGTGTGTTCTGGCCACTAAAGTAGTATTTAATTTTTCCAGTTTTGTTGGGTACTTGTGTCATTCACCTAACTGTACAGTAACAAACTTTTTCTGTAGGTGTTGTATTTGTGAAGCTCTTATATTCCAGTGTGGTGTTCCAATGCTACAAGGCAAATACCAGTGCAAGTGAATGTTATCTTGTGGTTCACATACTTTGCCAGAGGAAGTGTGTTGGGTTACAAGAAGAGGTGGATGTGTATACACTTCATGTTTGCCTTGTATCTGAAAGCATTTATGTGCATGTTTAACTTTCTACTTAAAAGTCATTGCATTGATGAGATAAACGCCAATGACTGCCCCATCTTCAGACTTTGGTCTAGTCTGCAGTAGAAAGGACTTGCCATAGTTCAGGCCATAAGTCCATCGCAGCAGAGACAATGCTAATTCTCATACCAGACAAATTAATACAAGCTTCCCAAATTAAGGAAACTGACTATTCTTGCTAGCATAACTTCAGGGTTTCCGATAGTATCAACAGGACCTTAAATCCTACCCCTAAGCTAGGACTCCAGTTCACAAGCAGCATGGTCTATCTTGGGACATCTCTAGTGATTTCCTGCCGACCCTTGTCTATCTCTCTTTGGAGGTTCTCTGACAGCACAGATGGTTCTCTTGTGTCTTGTGTTAGAGTTTAATTCAGTTCAGAATAGTTTTTCATTATTTTAGTTTAGTTTGCATTGGATAATTTATTGTCCAACCACCTATATGCAATATCTTATGTCATGAGCGCAGTAAGCATTTAAAGAGGGAGCTTTTACCTTCCCATGCGTGCTTTGCTACACCTTTGCTTTCTATGCTACAGGTCAGAACCATTTATCATCCCAAGCTTATCCAACCTGATGCCTTACAAGACCATATTATAATTACCAGTGGTATTGAGACAGCTCTATGTGCCAAGGTTCCTGATGCAGAACCAGAGATAACAGTTTTGTTGTTCCAACTCAGCCCTGCTTTCTGCTCTGCGCGTCTGACAGGGATCTCTTTGCCTTTATCTTTGGATCTAAACCCTCACCCAGATGAAAAGAAGGGTGGGATTAAAAAAAACCAGGCACCACTTAGTGAGGCCTTGTAAGACTAGTTTAGTGGAGATTCACTGTATTGTAGCAGAGTTCTCTTTAAATGGAGTCTTTCATCTAGCAGAGTCCAAGTTGTTCTACAAACCACATGTATGTATGGAAATAAAATACGTATAGCTTCAGTCACATTGAGATAGCATATAGGAGAAAGCATAGCAGTGCTCTAATAGAATGTATTTGTGCTACTTGGGTACTTCAGATTTAAATGAAGAACGTTTCTTTTGCTGAGAACCAAAGACTCTTATAGCAGCTCCTGTGTTAACACCTATGCTAGTGTTAATCAATGATAATGTGGAAAATATAATTATCATATTGCTCCTGCTTTATTCCCACTAATTTGTTGATTTCAGATTGCCCAGCTGCTAGCAGTGACTGATAAATATTGTTTGTGGGTCATCTGGAAGTGGTAGGACTAATACAATTACCATAGCCTTCCTGTATTTGTCTTTTAGGGCAAGAAATAAAGAAACAGCTAGTTGAAACAAAACCCAGTGTATCATTTTGATGATAAGCACTACTAGAGCAGTGAAGTGATTGAAGGTCATTTCAAAAGCCTTGACCTCTGAAAAGATTAAGCTCTCTAGTTTCCCTTGAATCTTCTGTGGTAAGCCTTGCAAGACCAGTGGAAGAAAATCTCTACTGCCTCTTGAGTCCTCGCTAATTCTTATGAGGACAGTCCCTGCCGTGGGCTGCCCCGTGGTGAAGTGCCTATAGTACAATACATTGCACAGCTTGAAAATGAAATGTCATTAAAGGATTTACCTTCTTAAATGAAGTGAGGTGAAACTGGTCATCTGGGCAGGCTTCCAAGCCCTTAGGAATATGCGTGAGACAAGGTGTTGAGGCATAGCCACTATTGACAAATGCTGTGTGGTTGACGAGCATCCTGGAGATGTGTGATGAAGGATATACAGGTGCAGCCTTTGAGGACTTGGTCTAGCTCCAGCCGAGGGTTTAATTCCTCCGAGTATGTTGGAGGAAACTTTTGAGGGGAGGATGTTGCTATAGGAGAGCCAGAGGACTGTGCTGGAAATTATGTTAACAGAATCCTGGAAGAATATAAAGAGGGACCGCACCACTGTATTTGAGGCTGGAGAAATTAAAGGTCTTAAAATTTGACTTGGAAATGCAATGCACGGTACAAGGAACTTCAGTGGGAGAAGTCTGATATAGGGACAGATACTCCGTCTCCTGTCCTAAATATGTATAATGGAGTTCCTTTGCATTTATTGAGCATTCCATGCAACACTTTGAAGATGTTAGTGTTAATCTGTTCTCTGCCTTTACGTTTTCTCATTTTGTGTGGTATTCCGGTTCTGCATTTGTTTCAGATAGCAATCGAGTCAGGCACATGCTGGGTGTGCCTGGATTCAGGAGAATCCAATAAACAAAGTATAATTAGAATTTAAGAGTTCAGTACTTAGTCCTCAAGATGATTGCTATTCTTTTGTACTATTACAATGCATGTTTTCCCAAGAGTTACATTATAGTTGGGTTAGATTTCATTTATTGAGGTGAAAACAGAAGCTTGTGTTGACCTGGTGTGTGCTTTGATCATTTGTATTAATAACCTCTAACCACTTCCTTCCCCCCACTCCCATTTTGCTGCTTGTGTAAATTAACCTCTGCTATCACTTCAGGGTAAGGTTGAGATTAGCTTCTTTTATGTCTTTTCAAAAGCTATGCTTAACTCTGTGTAGTTACTCCATTAATGTAGTCTCAGGTGAGACATTTCCAAAGGATCATTCAGTTACACTATATTTTCCTGCTATTCCACATGCTGTTTTCTTGACCCTGAATATGTTGTACTACCTTCTAAGTAACTCAGTTTCTCTTGGTTTTGGTCTGAATCTGCTAGCTCTATGTGACATACACCCCCCCGCCCCTTAAGGGGTAATGAACATTTACTTTAAATATTTTTGTTTGTTTTTAAGTGGGCTTCCAATTCCTCCCCCTCCTCCCCTCTCACAGCTTCTTTTGGGTTCCCTGCATGGCTGGCTTTTGTACCATCAGCAAAAACTGTAAATGGCAAACAGCTGGACTACATGTGTCTAACACCATCCCAGTTCTGACTTGCTGCTTAAGTGAAAACAAATTTAGATTTTTCCTGCAGTGCTTTGGTTAGGTAGAGCTCCTCTAACTGGAGAAAACTGCTTTTGGTGCCATGGATATAACCCTTAAGGATTATATCTTAAGGTTTCTTAAGGAACCAGACTGTTCTCCAGATATATGGGAGTCGTCTTTCTTTCTCTCTTTCCCCTCCTTCATGAATAATAGTTAAAAAGGAAGTCTTATTCTTAAAGGCAAACAGGATTCATGCTTTGTTACCAGTTATTAGTTAACTGGACTGAGAGACTGCCTACAAAGTATTTAGCTTTTGTGCTCAGAATCAGGATTAACAACTTTCTGTCTTTACAAATGAGAACTCTTGACCTCTCTGTTAATTTGGTCCTTATTGTATCAACTTGGAAATACTCCACACTTCCCCTTCTGGAAGTGTTTAATCTGTTAAAATTACTACCTCACCTACATTTAGAAGCCTTCTTGGAAGGAGACCAAAGCTGCAGGTCAAATAGAGAAATACTGAGCAAGTAGTGGGGCTGGGCTGAGGGCTGCTCAGGTACCCAAGGCAGAGCCATTGCCAGCAACTGCAAACGCCACAAACTTCTGTTTTACCCTAAACAGTATGGGTTGGGGCAGGTACCGCAGGGTCAGAGCCGCCCGCTGCTCAGCCTGATGCACGTGGACTTCCACGTGACTGTAAGGAGTCATTGCTCATTGCTCCTTTTCCTCTGAGGATTAGATGATCTGGGAAACAAAGGTCACTTCGGTTCCTTACCTGCTATACATCTAAGGTTCCCTAGGTAGAAAGCAGCAGGGGTTCTTGGTTTTGGAGTTGCAGCTTGTTGCAGAAGGTGTGGGAGGGGGATGCATCTCTGCTTGTTTGCAGCCATTTTGCTATTCCCACCTGTAATGTGCAAAAGCGTAGGGATTTGGGGGTTTTTTTGTTGTTTATTTGCTTCCTGTTTTAATCTAAAATCCAAGCCGCTTACAACGAACAAAGCAGAAAGCCTCCCCAAGCGTGTGGTGTGGGTGTCTCCTGTGTGACAAGTAACTGCTTTTGCAAGTCCAAAAATAGCCTGTGTGCATCGGGAGCGTTCTTGGAAGCACTGCAGGGACACAGCGCAAGGGGACACACCAGGCACTGCGGTTTTGTAGCTGTGTCACCCCACCCCATGCCTGCTCCCCGAGCCTGTGAGAGGGAGGGTCACAGGCAAAATCTTTGCGTCAGAAAGACAGTAGGAAAAATGAGGGTTGGCTGGCAAGTTTTATGTGTGGGCTGGTCTAATCTCAAGAAAGCACTAGTGTGTTCTTGTTGTACCGCAAGCGTACCAAGCGTGTTTTGCAAATACCCCCGTGACCCATAAACAGACAATAAAATTTGTGGGTGTAAATAGCTGACAAATTCTGAGGATTTAGGGCATGAACCCGCTAACCGGTATTCACATAGATAATCCTAATTCATGCAAGTTCTACCAAATGAGTTGTTGCTGTTCATCGCGTGAGTCAGAGTAAGGCCTTTCTGCAGGTCACGTTGTATTCTCCTGAAAGCGGCTTGTGGTGCTTTTGTTTCCCTTTCGGATCACCCCTGTGGCAAGCTGCCCAGCTCATTCACGTCTCCCAGATTTGAAAATAATAAAATCCAACAAACTCCTCGGCACTTGGAAGCAGGGGAACTGCGATTCCAAGCTCCCTGGCCTGTCTGGGGGGTTTTACAAGTGATTGGGAGCCTGGCAGGGAAAAAAAATGCTGGTGTTAAAGCCCCAGGCTCCTTTGCCACTATGAGCAAAAGGACAAAAGGTAATAAAATTTTAGTAAAAAAATTTATTTAAACCCCCACAACCTGTGTTTCACAGTGACCATAAGCACCCAAGGCTGGGAAGCTGGCGGTTGTTTTGCGGGGCGATGGTCCGCGTGTCGTCAGCGGTGAGCCCGTGCTGAGGCCGCAGGGATTCATTCATCCCGGCTCCCATAAGTCACCCACATTCCACGTTTCGGTTCCCTTTCCTGCGGGTGGGAAACCTGTGCCGTCGCCTGCCAGGGCGTGTGTAACGCCGCGCAGGTGTACTCGCAGGGGCTGGAAACGGTACCGCCAGCCACGCGCTTCTGAGACTTTTATTTATTTTTCGCTTTGAAATCAGGCTCTCTTGATTCGCCTCCGGCACCAGAGATGCACCCGGGCCGTA